ATATCTGAGACTAATATACTTTTATGTTATGTTAGTCTCAGGTAATATACAGATGTTTTAGAATCAGAGACAAGGGTCTTATACGGGGTATTATATTTGGCAAACCAATCAATAAGTAGTATTAAATTATCACAAGGTAAATAACTTAATCCCTTTTAAAATTGCGGTTAAGTAGCATCTTAATTACAGTAAAGAAAGATCATCTAGGAATTATTTCTGCCTCTCATTCCTTAAACCGGCTTCGTTAAACAGTGTCAAGATATTTAAGTCAGAGCCAAAAACAAGACTATTTTTATATTTAAATCCCCTCACCTTGTCAATGTTTATGTCTGCATCTGGTTTTTCCTACCTTTTGGAGGGAGACAATATACACATAGATTAATTACTGGCCATGGACAGGGGGCACAGAAACGAACATTCTGGGATCATTAGGGATAATTGGGGAAGAGGGATGGGTGGTGTTGAATAGAAAAGTCCGGGAGTGAAGTTAAGGGGTCCTGAAATCTTCCTTTTGATATTTAGTGCTTGAATGAAGACTTGTTTCCACTCCACGCACTCTAGTAGAATTTAAATATTTGATCCAAAGGAGTTATTTTTAATCAAAAATCAAAAATGATTAAATGCTTGCTGCATGCAAACATACTACACTTAAATTGAAATGCTTTACTTAGTTAATTAACGCAGTAGTCACATGACACACGGATAAGACGTACCTGGGCCGAGGATAAGCAATATTTATCTCTCAATAGGTATGATAAGTGTGAACTTTTTATTCCTGAGAATTAGTAGTTAGTAGTGCTTATTACTTATGGATAAGACATTAAGTATTCTTTCTTAGTAGTGCTTAGAAAATAGTGTTTCACGTTGTGTAACATAATATAAAACGACTAAAAAAACATATTTACAGTAGAACAAAGTGTTCAAAACATCAGAATTACCTGGCAGGTAATATTCACTCTTCACAATACAAAAATAGTATCCTATACAAAATACACCCAAATACAAAATGTCGTCTGAGTCACTTTTGAGTATCTTTTTATATACATCATAAATTATTCCTCAACTGTCCATGACTAATACAGGATTACTTGATCAAGTATGTTTCCCTAAGACTCCTTATGGCACATTCCAATTGTCCTTTTTCAGCAACCAATGTTCCGTCTCATTAGATGAAGAATGATCACTAAATATAAATGTTACTGCCTCATATGCACCATATACCATCATGCTATCACGATTTTAAGTCTTTAACTTAGAAATAATAACAAGTCCATCACTTCATATCCTGTATCTGCAAATTGTCCCTTTGGTATGTTTAAGTACAATGAATGTCCTTTGAGATCAATGTAATTAGTCCTCCTCACTAGTCTCTGAAGATCCATAGTCGTTTAATAAAAGCAGACCACCAGCTATTGCTGAGAGAGGGTCTGGACCGACTTCTTTGTCTCTAACTGGGCTTGAAATGAATACACAAATTCTCTTTGGTGAGACTGGGTGATCATCTCTCTCAACTTGTGTCTTTGAAGATTGTGGAGATTTTTTCACTTTTATCCTTGGAGATCTCGATGAATCTCTCTCCTCATACTGTGTCTTCATAGATCTTTGGGCTTCTTTAATGCTTTTAGGGACTGTGTCAGATTGATCATCTCTATGTTTCGTTTTCATCTTGTCACTTGTCATCTTGCTACTACTTTTCCCAGCATTATTACCCCCTTCCTCAAAAGACAACTCACGCTCCGAGGGTATCTGAATAATGGCAAAGTCTCCTTTTTCAGATGTAGCTGGAGATCTTTCACTTTCAGTATGCTCCTCTTTGAGTCTGAGTCCAACTTCTTTGTGCCCGAAATACACTGTCCTCTCAACCGTTGCTTCATCTGCTTTATCATCATTTGAGGCTTCATCGCATTTGTCAGTACATATATCTCCTACCTCTCTGTTCATATCACATTCTGCTTGTGACCCTACTTGATCATCAAATCCACCAAATTTTACTGTTCTACTATCCGTGCCATCACTTGTACATCCATATTTATCATCTTTGACATCATCTGTATCATCACTTTTATACCCAAATTTATCATCTTTGACATCATCTTTGTTATCACTTTTATACCCATATTTATCATCTTTGACATCATCTGTGTCATCACTACTTGAGGTATCAATAAACTCCTTTGAACATATCTTTCTTTTAGGGACATGTGCCTTTCTTTGCCATCCCTTTGGCTTTGGCTTCCTATTTCGCCGTTTCTCCTTCAGTTTTATCCGTAGTGGTGTACTTCTCTTGGCTACCTTCTTAACTGGCTTCTCTTCAGGTTTTGGTACTTTTACATCAGTTTCTTCATTAAGAATTCTGTTCACTTCGGAATCATCAAGGAATATTTCTTGATCGTCAACACTTAACAAGTTAACATTTCCTGTAAATATATCTGTTAGGCTTTCATCGAGGTTAGTTTCACCCACCATTTTTTGTTTAAGTACATCATGCATTTTCATATGTTTTTCCATCAAAGTTTTGCTTCTTCTGTCACAGGAATACATACATGGACGGCCTTCAGGGGATATGTATGTACATTTGAGAGATAGATAGTGTTGTCTTACATGCAGGTATAGTGCACGCCAGTTTCTGTATCTTTTGTCGCAGAAGATGTAGTTTTCATTTTCATCTGTTCTGAGGACAACACGGCATTGCTGCAAGTAAGCAAAAACATTGATAAGTTACCACCGGGTAGGCTCATTTACATCTAATAAAATTCATAGCTTTCTAACTTTGAATATAAATCACTCAGATTGATCAATCAGGGGCTTTAACCTTCCTTTTTGTACAATCTTGAATTCTTCAATTTCTCTTGGACCTCAGAAGTTTATCTTTCCCATCAGGGATTGAATTATTACAGGGTCTTGTGGGGGTTCATTGACATCAACATGTGTTCGTTTGTGTTTGGTGGCACAATACTTTTATCAACTGATTGGCTGCAGAACCGCTTTAATTTATTCGCGTTCACTACCCGCCGATTGTCACCGATTTGAAATCATCAACACACGTTGCAAATCTGTTTGATCTGTTCCATCTTTTTACAAATTTAGGAGTTTGACCTTTTCATGGGAACATACAACATACAACTTAATCATCAACATTTTGCAGATTGGCTTTGACATCATACTGGCTTTAAATGGCATCACCTACAATTCAAACTATCCCATATAATCATGGCTGCATCATCCTGGCTCATAAGTACCTGCCAGTACTCAGATCCAGCAAGGCTGTCAACGATTTCATCACACCGTGGCAGCGGGTAAGAATCTCCGACAGTCTTGTGATTCAACTTTCGAAACTCCAAACCAAATCGTAAGCTTTTGTCCTTCAGAACTAACACCAGTGCCAGTGTTGATTTTCATCTCTGTTGCATCCGTTTTGCTAAGTCTTGTTATTGGCAAATAAATAGGTTTACTTCAATCAATAAAACAGTTTAACACACTCCACTTTTTCGGGAGAAAATAGTTGCACTCTGTTCTCAAAAAGTATCTTCGAATGTTCTTGTGCTTTGTCATCTGCCTCTTTTAATTCAGATTCAGATTTCACTTCCTCAACATCATCCGCAGAGTCGTCATTAAGGTTAAATTCATGGTCAACATTGGATCTTGTCATTCAATATCAAGTTCAATATCAAGTTTAGACCTGGCCAGGCATTTGTCAACAAAGGGGTCAGACTCTGACTTCAAACATCACTACAATGTGTGTTCGGGATATCATTCTAGTTGATTGAAACACCGCCAATATCTGTGACTTCACGTTCAGACGCTTGAACGTGTCTCGGTAGTTCCTTTTCATTTATGGAAAGCGGCTCACCAAAAGCTATGGGTCTTTATACAGCATTGTTGGTTGGATACCATAATTGATCATTCTCACGAGAATCCAGTAGTTTGGATTTACATGTACCAAAAAAATCTACCGATTGATATTCCCCTGATCTTGGCGTCCACATCCATTTTAATTGCTTAGACATTTCCATGTAGATTGCCTGGTGCTTCACCTTTGACTTCTACTTTACACATGGGCGACACTCTCACTGTTTGTTTCATCACAACATGACACTTGGGTCTCAGGCTCAGTTGAGGGTTTACACTAAATCACACTCTAGGTTCATAGTCATATCTTCGAAGTCTATACATCCAAAACATTCTACCAAATGTAACGCTTGTGTTATTTATCAAGACAATCAAGTAACATTAAAACATACTGATCATCTAATTCTCTCATCTCAATCTTTATTCCCAGTCTTTATCAAAACATCTATATACAAATACAATGCATCACCATCATTTTCTGTGACTCCATATGTCATTAAAATAGCTAGTGTTACAGACTGAGATTCTTAATATTAATCAAAATATTTTGCTACAATAAAATAATGCACGATTGTTCAAGTAGACATGTTTTCAGTCCGGCCGGTTCTGAATACTGTGTCATATCTACTATTTCCAGTTGAAGAAAACAATGATGAATAATTTCAATTACAAACAATTAGTTTTCACATGCACTCCTCACAATTAGTCTTTATTCATTCACACATGGGTAATAAGTCCATTTCATTTATTCAACCAACCGGATGAATGTCAAGTCTCCATCAGTGTATCCATCACAACTGTAAATTCAGCTTCTTAAATGTAATGTCTTTTTTCGCAAATTACACATTTGTAGCCATCAATCAAGTTTCACTTTTGCATCTTTAATTCCAAACTCACACTTCACAATGCAATGCACTTCAACAGGTCTTCCATCAGTCATCTCTATGTTTGAGACATGGCCTTTGTTGATATATTCATCCATCTCGCCTTTGTGGGAATATTATACACATCAGATTCACTATCAACAATAGCTGGTATCAGGAACTTCCAAATATTAAAATGCACAGCAAGACCTTTGCGGGTTGTGCCATCAATTTAAGTGGGTCCAACAGAGGTCTCGGCTGATTCTGGACCCACTGAATCAGTCTCATCTAGTTTCCTGAGCCCTTTGGCTCGGGGCTGCCCTTGGGGCAGTCCATCACACTGTGGTTTTCTTCCCCGCATCTGAAGCAAGCCTTAGATCCGTGCTTCTGTGAATTAGGGTGCCTGAATTCACAATTGAAGACTGAGTGTTCCCTGCAGTCACAGAGTTTGCAATACACCCGCCTCTTCTTGTTCTTCTTGGGTTCCTTCTCTGTCTTTTTCATGAGCTTTTTCATCAACTGTTGTTCCAACTTCTCCACTTCTGATGTAACCAAACTTTGCATGTCTGCTCTGAAATCATCCATCATGGCTTGAAATGGTTCCTTACTTGGAAGATTAGCTGTTTTTTTCAAAGCTACAATTTGGAACACTGTATCAGGTTCAGTCACAATTCTCTTCTCATGGCCTTTTGTGAGTGCTTCATCTTGGAGAGATACACATGGTGCCTCATTCTGTGTCTCAGACTTGGCGAAAGACACACAAGCGTCCACATCAACATCGTTTTGGGGTTCAATAAACTTTCCCTTAGCTTTCATTTCTCTGTCAGATTTAGGTAGCTTTTCATCAGAGCATGACCCGTGACCTAGGCTTCTCACACTGATATATTGGTTAGTCAAAGGTCTCTCACTAATTCGGTGCCCATATAGATCAGCGCTGTAACTTCGATCATCATTTCTAGGTTTTTTCAGCAATGGCATTCGATAACCCTGGTCCAGCACATATTCTTGGTCTGTCATCAATCCTGTGTCATCAAGGTCTGAATCTCCCCATTGCATGCAATTGTAGGGTGATGAAACATACGGAATATGCACCGATTGGGAAAACTTTTGTGGGACAATTCTGTCTTTAGTTTCTGTTTTATCATCCTGGAATAGTGATGGCTGTTGTCTCTGTGACTTCAGGTAGACTGCCTGTCTCTCAAAGCCATCACCAAGCAGCACTGAAGAATCATCCTTTGTACCATCAAGTTTCACTATTGGAGCATATAATACATCATGGTAGTTCGGTTGTGGCATTGGCATCTGATAAAAAGCATCTTGTCTTTTGAGTCTTGGCTTTGAAATTTCTCTCGGACAATCATTGGCTCCTGTCGGAAATGCTGAGGGTGAAAATAACTTATTATCTTCACAAGTCTGCTCTTTTTCTTTAACGTCACGTTTCATTTCATGCACTTGCATGTGGGTTCTTTTTGGTATAGCTTCAGCTCCTGACAATAAAAGCTTGTCATTATCATTATTTGTAGGCATCAGAGATTCTGTCTTGATTTTCATCGACATTAACAAAGGTCTTCTTCGTGATTTCATAAGCGTTTTGGGCATGTTCCATCTCAAATCACTCCTCAGATCTAAAGCATCAATTGTCGCAGATTTTCTCTGACATCTATCATCCATGAAATTATTGGGGTACAAATTATCTTCAAATGGTACAGATCTCATTTGTGGGAGATCGGCAATTTTCTTCAGTTCATCAGTATCAATATTAAGGACATCTGTGTCACAGCATTCATAGGCCATCTTGTGTACATCTCGTTCCTTTCTTTGACGTCTAGACTGCAAACTACAATGTACTTCACCATCACCAAATGCTGACTGTAGTAGCTCATCATTCATGTCAAAATCTGTGGCTTCCATTTGCTCAGTAGATGCCTCAGATGGTAGAGCTGTGTCCTTTGTCGTCTCCAAAGTATTTTCAGTAGCTGACGTGGCCATATTTCACACAAGTTATTCCCATGTAAGAGATTCCACAGTTTCACACAGATCAATTTATTACAGTTGACAACATACAACTTTATTCTTCACACAAATATGAAACAACAAGTAAATAACAAAATTTATTTTTATTTACTTAATCATACACCTGGTTTATTCACTTAGAAGAAATGGCTGTGACTTCAAAAATCCAGCCTTGCATCAATGTGGACATTCGTTTATTCTTCACTTCAGGTTTTGCAGAACATACAATGCAAGAGTACAAGCTGGTCATCTATTTTAAACAATAAACAATCCCAAGCATAAAGAAGTATCACACAAAGAGTTTTCCTTTTGCAGCTAAACACATGTGTGTTAACAATTTGGGAATGACTAAATTTGTTTACACTGCCCGAATAATGAGAAAAAAATGACGCAAAACACGATCTTGATATAATGCGCGAGCCAATCAGTTCACAAAAGTAGACGTACCACTATCACTATCCATATCCCACCGCTTTAGCCAACACTGTGAAGTTTCTGGTCCTGCTTCCACAAAAATCATAGAATTGGTAACGTGCTCTATTAGGACCAAAAACCCCGAATATGTCACTTACCGTCTTGTTCTCATTTATAAGGCTCTATGGAAGGGGTGAAGACTCACTGTGTGATTAATTGTTGACAAATGACAACTGTGGACAAGTATGATTTCGCAATTGTGGACAAAGTGTAATTGCACAATTGTGGACAAAGTGTAATTGCACAATTGTGGACAAATGACAACTGTGGACAAAAGTGATTTCACAATTGTGGGCAAAGTGTAATTGTACAATTGTGGACAAATGACAGTTGTGGACAAATATGATTTCACAATTGTGGACAAAGTGTAATTGTACAATTGTTGACAAATGACAGCTGTGGACAAATATGTTTTGAGTTATATTAGGCCAGCATGGGGAAGGAAAATTTGGGCAGCACTTCCCCTAGTATGAGTGGAAATCAGATTGGGGAGGGGAAAATATTCTAAGTCCAAACTTAAGAAAAATTTGGGCAGCACTCCTTCTTGTATGAGTGAAAATCAGATTTGGGAGGGACAGATATTATAATTGCTATATCAGGTCATACATCACTTGTTAAAAGGAACTGTGTCTTCAAGGTAAGGCTGTGTCTTCCATTTAGGGGGTTGGGAATTGTAAAGTGGACAAATTACAACTGTGTACAAACCCAAATGTGGACAGAAGCAATTGTGGACAGAAGCAATTGTGGACAAAGTAGAATAGTTCAGGTAAATGGTTGGTTATGACACACTCTGATCATCAATGATCCAACAGAAAAAGATATAAACTGCTAAAATAACTTACTATCTTTATTCGTAAATGACTAAATTATATTCCGTCTACATGAATAGAAAGACAATCCAAAGATGGGATCAGAATCAGCAAAATTATTACGGCTAAATAATATTGTAAACAGCCAGTGAAATCACCAAAATTATACACTAATATATCTCACCCAGTTTTCAAAGAGCTTTGTCGTCATCCCGGGCATGTTGGCCTTCTTTAGAAACACATCTTTGACTTCAAAACGATTCTCTAGGCTTCAAAACGATTCTTGATTACGAAAACAGCTGATTTCCCAAACTATCAATGGCTGTCCACAATGTCAGAGTGTACAAGTTAATCTCGAAACTCAAACAAAACGTTTTTATACATCAAAGTCTAAACATATAACAATATGTTTGCAACATCAAAATACATGATTGATAACATCATAAGAACATGTTACGTTCCAGTTAAGTTTTAAAAGTGCTCTTTATATGACAGAAAATCAAAAATATAAATGAGATAATTTCCTAGTCACATGACCATCCAAAATGGCGGCCTCCATGAAAAATGTAAACAAATTTAAAATCAAAACAGTTTCGTGAATTTGAAGCTCAATACAAAGTAATTATACGTGATTTTCTCAACTACAATCAAGATCAAGGTACCAGGTAAGGAGAAATGATATAAATATAGAAAATGACGAGCAGGATCGTCACAGTTCTTCTGATTCAATATAATACCCTATTTCATATCAATATTGTTGCGGTTTGATCTACAAATCACGGCCATCGAGAGCTACGCTTAGCAATTTGCAATTCACTTGTTGCCGCTTCTGCTGCTCTCGCGCCGTGTCCCTTCGGAGGTATAAATACCCCACCAAAATTGTATTTGCAGTCGGAAACACGTTGGATGCTGTTAACTTTAAATGGCTAACAGACCCACAACCATTAGATATGGGGCAGGAACCAGAATTACCTCAATTCAGATACGTCGGCTATGAATTGCAAACATGCAGACAGAACTACAGCACAGGTAAAAACCAGGTGACCACCTCATGTCCTGATTTAGACCACTGTAAAACTATGCTGTATGGTGGTCTAAACACGACATCAATGAACTTGGCCCAATTTGGACAGTGAATGAAAACATAAACGTTATAGTTCATCCAAATTGGACCATGGAACTGCATGATGTTCACATGGTAGGACGCCTCGTTCAAGAGGGCTGATAATTATATGATTTTAGTTGGCAATACAATGGAAACATTGCATTACAAATGGTTACAACCTAAGCCAGTCGCTGGTGATTCCAATCTTGAACTGCCACAATACCGATATGTAGGTAATAAATTGATGGATTGTCTTCAAAACTATACCACAGGTAGGTTTTTGTTCGGGAAAAAACGAGTATTGGTGGCAATCAATAACCAATATGGCGTGTTTGCTGTTCAATTTCGTGGGAAAATGTATTATGTCTGACTGTGGAGTATTGTGCTATACAGTGTTTGTATGAATGTTTTAAAATATAAATTGCAGAACACATTTTAAGATTTGGATCATTAATGGTTAAACCAAGTGAATGACTGTATATGATAAACTTATCAATTGTTCACTTAGAAGATTTAACTCATCAAAACGTAAACATTTCCTGCGCTTATGATTTTAAAATGGATTTGTATATTGACTTTTACCCCCGTTATGTCGTGTTCCAGGTGCTTACCCATGCCTACAGATCGATTTTATACTCAAGAGAGACATAGGATACTATCTTATCCAGCTCTATATACCCAGTGTTTTGATAGTAATTCTATCATGGGTAGCCTTCTGGATTAGCATTGATGCAATTCCAGCTCGTGTCACAATTGGACTTCTTACAGTGCTTACAATGACAACACAGAGCACAGGAGCAAGATCTCAACTTCCAAGAGTATCTTATATTAAAGCCATAGACGTTTGGATGTCAACGTGTTTATTATTTGTGTTTGCGTCCCTTTTAGAATTTGCTGTTGTTAATGTATTTTCAAGAAAGGAAATGAGGAGAAATAGGACACTTAATGGGAACAGGAAGTTAAAGGAAGAGCATGTGACGATTGAGCAGGTAAACAGCTACACTCCCCTCATTAAGTTTGGTAACCGGAGGTTCTCATCTTATCACTTAAAAAAGCCTGTGAATAATTAAATTATTAAAATCTGTGAATAATTAAATCTCAATTCTGTTCCTGATAGTTTGGACATTTATTAGCATACACTCTCCTCCATAAGTTTGGCAACCTTTTTTCCCCATTGAACTACGTGTTAAAGCCTCTTTACGTTTGCATTTTTATTTACTTAACCGGCGATGAAATAATCTAAACTATTGATGGAAACGTAACTTGACTTTATTTCCAATACCTCCAAATTTCTCAATTTTTTCCTCAATTACAATAGGTCGAAAATTGATGATAATTTGATGAATTTTTGAAAATCGTCATTCCCATGTTATCCAATGGGAAATGGAGGGTTCGGGGCAAATCAGAAATCAGGATATATTTTCAGTAAAAGATTCAGCAAAAAATATTTTTATATAGAAAATTGAATTGTCTAACTTTTTTGAACACTAAGTGTTTAGTTTATTTGATGAATATTAAAGTTACAGCGCTTCAAAGTCATTTTTGAAAATAATTTTTCGCCTCCTGTGTTATTTCAATGGGAGAGGTTTTTTGAAAAACAATTTTGACTTTAAAGCCCTATAACTTTGTTGAACCTGAAGAAACATATCATTTTTTTGTTAAATAAAGTTAGTAAATTCAATTGCCTGCCTAACTCGTATTTTTTGCAAGGACTCGGATGGATGGATATTCTGTCATATGACTTGCGGCAAACCTACCATTTCTCATTGGTTAACATGGGAATGTCGATTTTTAAAAATTCATCAAATTAATCATCAATTTTCGACCTATTGTAATTGAGGAAAAAAATTAAGAAAATTTTGAGGTATTGGAATTAAAGTCAAATTACGTTTCCATCAATAGTATAAGTATTTTCATCGCAGGTTAAGTAAATAAAAATTCAAAGGTAAAGAGGCTTTAACACGTAGTTCAATGGTGGAAAAAAGGTTGCCAAACTTATGGAGGGGAGTGTATGCTTCGATAGGTGAGCAAATCGAGTCCCCCTGTTGCCAAACTTATTATGGAGAATGTGATCATTATGTCATCCTCCTTTTTTTCTCCCATACCATGGTCGCTGTAATATAAATTATATAAAGCAAATCACTTTGATAAATACGATTACTATTTTGTTATATTCCATGTACTTATATATTCTGCATACTTGCCTCCTAAAGACGTTTAATAGTGTTTGAGTTTTGATAACTTATCATTATTTTTTAATATCATCTATGATATAAAAAGGTCTGGATTGTATATTGGAATCTTCATTCAGAGTGATATATCCGTCAAACTCGGAAAAATCATCGGATCCCTTTGTATAAATTTAAACAATTTGTACATCTCCCGATGTATAACCTCCTTATTTTGACTCAATGTGTTTAAATACTATTTTCCAGATTAAAGTAGTCACTCGGAATGGAAGGGACTTTAAAGAAGTCAAAGAGAAACGACCATTTGTTCGTGATGGAGAAGGGAGGAATAGAGCCAGATATATTGATAAACTAGCAAGAAAGATGTTTCCCTTATCATTTGTTCTTTTTAATTTGATATACTGGCTCACATACAAGTTTGCATGACACTCTATGTTTGTACTATTTTATTAAAATATAATATTGCGTCATAATGTAACATACTGTGAAACACACGTTTGCACCATCATTACATTTTAAGCTCAATTTATTACTGAATAAACCCACGATTGTGTTCGACTATTACAGTGTTATTTTAATGAGTAACCACGCAATGTATACCAAAACCTCATCAAACATACACAGAAATACACCCCTCTAAAGGTTTGGGAATACCGGTGTAAAGGAAATTATGGTCCCTGGGGATTATGGTCCCCTTTCTTTACGGTCCTTACTGGCCCTGATTGTGTATAAATAATAGGGAAAATAATTGTAATTAGGTCACCATAAAAAAACAATAGAGAATAGAGCCAAAATTTGATAGGACCACCTACCCTTTTACACCGGCTCCACACAAGACCGTGTGATGAATCCTGTTCATGGATCTTATATTATGTGTTTTTTAAATATTCATCATGGTCTTGCATTCTCGACGGATTGGGACACCCCTTATGTCCAAATCAGATTTTCCTCAATTTTGCTTTGATCCATTGTTGTACCCTACAAGGATTCTTGGAGATGGGAAGCAAGTAGACTGTAGATCCTTGTAGGGTACAACTATGGATCAAAGCAAAATTGAGGAAGATCTAATTCGGACATGTGGAGGTTTTGTGACCCTATCGTCCAAGACATGGGGAGCATGGGTTGGTTGAAAGTGTAGTCCGACTTGTACCTGTACGATTACCCTATATTTCTTTATTTATTCATTTATTTTTTATTCAATTCAATTCTTCAACGAGCTTATAAAAAGTGTAACATTAAAATTCAAATACCAAGAAGCATATGAAAATTGTGACATTAACTTCAAATGCCAAGAAGCATATGCAAATTATGACATTAACCTTCAAATACCAAGAAGCATATGGAAATAGTGTCATTGAATTGCAAATACCAAGAAGCATATGAAAAGTGTAACATTAAACTTCAAATGCCAAGAAGCATATGAAAAGTGTAACATTAAACTTCAAATACCAAGAAGCATATAAAAATTGTGACATTAAACAAATGCTCAGAAGCATATGAAAATTGTAACATTAACCTTCAAATGCCAAGAAGCATATGGAAATAGTGTCATTGAATTGCAAATACCAAGAAGCATATGAAAAGTGTAACATTAAACTTCAAATGCCAAGAAGCATATGAAAAGTGTAACATTAAACTTCAAATACCAAGAAGCATATGGATAATGTTACATTAAACACCAAATGCCAACAAGCATGTGGAATTGTGACATTAATCGTCAAATGCGAACAAGCATATGAAAATTGTAACATTAACCTTCAAATACCAAGAAGCATATGGATACTGTTACATTAAACCCCAAATGCGAACAAGCATATGGAAATTGTAACATTAAACTTCAAATGCGAACAAGCATATGGAAATTGTAAAATTAAACTTCAAATGCGAACAAGCATATGGAAATTGTAACATTAAACTTCAAATGCGAACAAGCATATCAAAATTATGACATTAACCTCCAAATGCCAACAAGCATATGAAAAGTGTAACATTAACTTTCAAATGCCCGAAAGGGGTATAGCCTAAGTGATCACTTTGATTTTTTATTGACATGCAGTTTTCTCTTTCCTCGTTATGTTAACATTGAGAAAAATCAAAATTAGAAATTTAAATGGACTAAAGGGACATACTTTATTAGTACCGTTGACATTGCACATGGCTAGACTAGCTCCAAGACCAAGTACTCAACAGAAACTATTATGCCATGTTGTGTGTGTTTTGTGAGATGAGTCGAGGATGAGGTAAACATTTAACTTTTTAGGATTGGTCTGGCATACTCAGGCATTTTGGGGTTAAGGTTATTTTATTACTACGGCCGTATTCAATAATCATTACCTCTATTGCTCAAATGAGCCATCTATATGACCTGATCAAAATGAAGTAAATGGCTCAAACTCTTTGGTTTTTTGAATGACAATTAGCTATGTATATCTTTATGATGTCTTTAGATTATTCTTTTCGGCAGCTTTTATTGCGTCAAAATGAGATGGATTTGATCTCAGGAATACGTCAAAAATTGATCTTTTTCGCATTATACTTCTTAAATCTCCACCACTTTCCAATGCCCCTCAACTACGCATAACCCTACTCACTAAACAGTTAAATTCTGCGATATACCAGGTCGATCAATAAGTTCTGAGAAAAATCTATTTAAATCAAAAGTTTTGTGGATTTTTATTTGAAATTTTCACAGAATATGTAAAATGGATTAAGCAATTGGTGTAACAAATTTTATGCACTTTACTCTCATTGGACTAAAAATATGGTTACTATGGTAACACATGTTTCAATTAAAATGCTCAAAATAGTTTTCGTGGTTTTGATACAATTGTTCTAGCGTTGAACCCATTCGTGGAACATGGATCTGAACCCATCGAGAAAACGTTTCCTCAGGGCATTTTTACGCCATTGTGGAGGTCTGTAAAGGTCGCATATCTGAATCCTCTCATCTTGTCCGTCATCGGTTTGAACACACCAAAATCACAAATCGCCTCATCTGATTAATAGGCAGCATGGATGAGTTGTTCCATCTGAAGGTCATTAGTAATCGTGGTTTTGATAAGAGCAGATGTATAGGATGGGGCATTGGTGCGGTGGTTTAGTAATGACCTCCACAATGCTGTGAAAATATATTTATATATTATATGGATATATGCACATATATCTAAAGCCAGTTCGGAAACCTTTTGAAGAACGCAGTGCCAACTAGTATGAAACCCGTTTGCAATCAGTTCTATCTTGTTCAAAATACGTCCTCGGACAATTTATCACTTTCTAAAAACATCTCTACTTGGTTTGAAGTACGACAGTTCCGTTCGTAGTACCTTCAGGTCGTCTTAAGTGCGTTGCCCTCCGCTCTAATTGCAGAACGCGATGACCATCAGAAAATTGTGACGTTGTGATAGTAGGGTGTTCCACCAAACTAGTTCCCACTACGTTATCTAAAACAGGCTCAAGCTATGTACGAACGGATTCGACGTACTTAGAACTGTTTGGGGTCTATTTACAAACGTTGATGCATTTTAGGACGAGTGATAACGTACATAAGACGAATTGGACGTTCTCTTAAACGGAACTGTCGTACTTCAATCCTACTCGGGACGTATTACCACGTTGTGTAGCCGGGCGTAAATTGAAGTACTATTTCCCGACTACACCCAGACTAAACCCGTTTTACGACTTTTTGTATTAGGACGGTTGAGAATTAGTTTGGTGTGATAGGGGTTTAAATGACTGGACCAATGTACGTCCATTTCGTTCATGATTGACTAAACTATGTAGACATTTTTCGTTCGTTATCATGCATTCAACAAAATACACCATAATATCGCATTTGAAGATGCGTTGAAAGAAATAGAAATTGACATTGGGAGAGGAAGGAAGCAGATTTTTAGTTCTAAAGTGATGACTTAAGTAGTACGAGCATCGATGTAGCGTTAAGTCAACAGTCCTCAAAAGTTGAAGTAGAAATAATTCTTGAAAGCTTACAAATGCGCAGTTTTAACGATATCAAATCTTGTTTAATTTCTGAACATCACCATGACATTGATAAATGTAGAGTTGAATGCTTATTTACTTATTTGTCGTAGTTTATGATCGTATTACTTTTTCAACAAGTCTGCCATGCCTCTAGGGCATTGGCACGCATATGTACGCTATATGTAACCCTACTATAATACCAAACTATTTCTCACTACCTTCTCAAAAAACGGGCTTGAACTATGTACCAACGGGTTGGACTTTATAGACATGCTCAGAGGGGAGTGTGATTTAGAATTTTGAACCATTTCAAATTTCGATAACAATATCGTGTAACAATTGTGTAACAACGTACTTCAAACGAGGTGACCTACTACGAAGTAGATAATTTTCCCGACCACGGTCATATATATTTAGCTCGTTTTGCGACATCTTTGTAGGACTAGAAAGAACGGAATTGGTGTGATAGGCGGGTTAGTTTGCTTAAATTTATAAATTACAGACAATATAATATCTTTAGGCTTTTTATTTTTCATAATTACATGTAAGCACTAGAATAGTTCAATCCATCACGCAACAAAAATTGAAATATGATGTGGGTAATATTTAATTTAATTTAAAACAATAAAAACCCTTATATCATATTCCAGTTTTTCTTGTTTGTGGAAGAAGTCGACAATACTTAACTGGGTGTGCTAAAGTCATCAGTGATCATGAGTATCTTACAGGTACAACTTCATGGTAATGAAAGACATTTTCACAAGTAACACATATAACTTACAGCTGGAAAAGTATATCACAAGTATATCACAAGTACATCGATGATTTTCAAGGTTATACTACTTAAATTCAGCATAAACCAACACACTTTTTTGAAAAGTCTTACAAAGCCCTTACTTGTAAAGAACTGGAGAAATACATACAATACCCTAATTCCAATACAGGTCGCAATACTTTACGATGTTCGGGAAATGAAAACACAATAATTATAAATATTTCTAATTTGTTTTGAATAACATTTTAAACATTTTGGATTATCAGAACGCCTAAAACTAAAGTTAAGACTAAACTTGATAGCTACATTTTTATTTCACATAAAGATTTTATAGGATACAATACCAAAATACAGCTATCAATTTGTTCAAATCATTATTCTGAAATAAGTCTATTAGCAGTTCCATTGATGACATCAGCAATATATGATACCAAGTATCTTTATAACTAAGTATTTGTATGACTGTAAAGTTGTAGAATTGGAAGGTGAAATCGGTAGCACAGCATATTTAAACCACCTGCACAATACGCCATTCATTCCTCGTTAAAACGTTAAAACGGATCTTTGTCAGGATACCTTTTCTATATATGGTTATCCTAAAGGCCTCGATGACGTCAAAAGATGGCATTTTTTAACATCTAAATACAATTCATTGCCCAAAATTAATTTAATCAAATCTAGCAAATCTAGAAAAATGATTATGAAACGAGAAGAATTATTATCAACTTAGTCAAAGATCAATGTAATGTATTTTGAATATCAATATCAACATAAAAATAATGTGACAAGGATGAAGAACAACTCACGCATGATATGCCATCTATATTGATCCCTATTAAATTTCGCTTGGTAGTATGGCACCGTAATAGATAAACGAAAGCAATATGTCTTTTCTCAATTAAACATAGAGACGATAGGATGAATAGTAAGAATGTGTATAAGAGTGGAGCCGACTAAATATGGTGTTCCCGCAACATAAAATCGATAAACACGTGACAATTCTTCACTTCTAAATTACGATATAGAACGGTGTAAGAAAATGTCCCCATGTGCAGACAAGTTAGTGTAACTGATAGACTAGTGGCATGTTACATTATAGATGCAGCTAAGCTTATTAACATAACTAGTGAAGTTAATTTGAAAAAGAGACTACTTTCGAATTTGAATCGAACATGATTTTTACATTTTCAAGTTTCTTTAGTAATACACACATTTCTCTCTTTTTATACTAAATGAACATATTTACAAATTAATTGTTATGATATGTCAATGTGAACAATGTGCACATGATCGTTGGTGATTTTTACATCTTATATCATTTACATTTGTACATAAGTGAAGTATGACACATACAATTAAGTCCATCTTACTTTTAGAATGTGATTTAATGCATATTTGATGTGAACGATATAGTCTATGGTATGACTTCCAAATATAAATGATCCATAGCACACTATAGGGCAGCAACATTTGAAGCAATATGTAGGGAGGTGCATATGTCTTGATTTTTTTAAATACCATTTGCTGAAAAAACTTCCGCCTTTCGGTTTGAAAAATGTCTTTCATCAATGTAAATATTTTGATTCGAAGTTTCATAAGACACAGACCGTTATTTTAAGTATATGGACACTAAACTAGATTATCATAATGTAAACATTTGCTATAATTTTACTGAAAATGCCAGTGTTTAATTGGTGTAATTACACTACTTTTCGGATTTTGTTTGATTTTTCAAATACAAGAAAAGCAGATTCAACAAAGGTGTGTCGAATATTTAGGTAATTTATGATTGCGAACATGTTAGTTTTCTTACCATTTAAAACATTTTATTACCAGAGTTTATCCATATTATCGCAAGGGGTCAAATAACAAGTTATTGTTCATGTTTTATAATACATAAGACGATAACAATATGTAATATTTATATCCAACTCAATGTTACAGAGGTATTGGAATGTTCATATATACCAAGGGCATGTCTAATAATCTGTAAGAGTCATATGCAATCGAACGCCTTACAATTATTCCTCGACATTACTGCTGGCTATCATCAGATTTTCTGATGGTTATTTGACCTTACCGCTGGATATCATCAGATTTTAGGAAGATATTTAGCGATTTTTCTCATTGACTCATGAATTCGACCAAGTCTTGATGGTTGTTGTATAAGCAACTGAGCACTAGCTAACAACAAGAAATAGAATTTTAGAAGGAGTGGCAATTAGTCAAGGAAAAAGAAGAGGCCCTCCTTTATTGACAATGTTCACCGCGGAATAACAGCCTATATATCAAAATATATCGAGACCCATTTTGTGAAAAACTTGCATAATTTAAGCATTTCTCATTCTAATATGAATTCAAAGTAATTCATTTGTAACATTTACTACATTAATGGCTGAGAAATCATACAAAACGCCGATGCACGGATTACATAATTTAGGGTATTGATTTTAGTTTTTGGTAATTTTTTGTCCTCTGCTAGTGACAGGCATAATTCAGCCTAAAAGCCGGAAGTACATTAAATGGTTATAATAAAAATTGTTAAGGTATGTTATTATTAGGTCAAATATCGCTGCGCCATAGTATGCTACCAGCTTCTTTATTAGAAGTCCTAGAGATTTCATACCATGGACTAATAGTTTGACCATCCACGGTTATAAAATCATATCACAATTCATAAAATACTTGCACTAAACTAGACCAACTCAAGCATTTTGATATGTTATTGCGACCTATTAGTTCTTACCTTAATGATTTGGGTGGTGCTGTATTTGATGATTTTTCCATAAGCTTATAGCATAGCAAGTAGTATAAATATAACTATACAATTGTAATGGAGTTGACGTGGCTCATCAAGAAAATGATATCACAAAATCTGCATAATTTACATAGTCTTCACTGAGAAGGTATCCATCTATGCAAAATGATAGTTTCATTCACATTATAGAGCAAATATGTATATCCAAACCCTGGAATCGTGTCATTCTGAAAAGCTATATGTTACCCAGTATATAAGATTGAAGGCTACAAAAACACCAGGAAAAGCTTTTCGGGCAATTTTGTCTATCCTTCTAGCTTTATGCCTTCCGTCAGGGTCTCTTATATATTTTGTTTTGGTTATTTTCTCTCTCACTTCCTTGAAGTCCCTTCCATTGTGTGTAACTATATTTATCTGAAATGAATACCAAATATTATATATTAGTTCATATCTTATAATAATCATATTAATCACTTGTAATGAAATGTATTGATGAGAACATTTTCCGAATAACGATTACCTTCGTAAGGTATTAGTCAGAGAACATGCATAGTTTTACAAACCTGTTCGAGTGCCATCTCGTCTTCTTTTCGTTTTCTCTTCAAAGTTGCAGCTGTCCTTGTTTTGACCTCCTTTCGTGAAAACACATTTACAACAGCAAATTCAAGTAACGAAGCAAACACAAACAACAAGCAGGTTGACATCCAAACGTCTATGGCTTTGATATAAGATACTCTTGGAAGTTGAGATCTTGCTCCTGTGCTCTGTGTCGTCATTGTAAGCACTGTAAGAAGTCCAATTGTGACACGAGCTGGAATTGCATCAATGCTAATCCAGAAGGCTACCCATGATAGAATAACTATCAAAACACTGGGTATATAGAGCTGGATCATATAGTATCCAATGTCCCTTTTGAGAATAAAATCGATTTGAAGGCATGGGTAGGCACCTGGAATGTACATGAATGTTTTAATATTAGTTGCTGAATATTTGCAGTTGTATTATTTCAAGAAAATGTGATAATTTTTATTCTATTTATCAATTTATATTTGATTAAACTGCTATTCTTACGAACTAGGTCACTGATAATTTCTACTATTTAAGGAGTTGATTGCAACATTTGAATTTAATCTGTCTGTATCATTTTGTGCTATTTCATCACCCCTCCTTAAGTTTTACTGTACATATATCTTAAAATAATATTTATAAAGGAGTAATAATTCATAATATACTTTCACACCGAACTGATCTACATTTCACAAATTACACAACATGCAAAAGCACACTTAGACACAGTACAATACATGCACATAAGTGGTGTGATATGACGTAGAATTCTTACAATACACCTTGATTATGATTTCCGTTTGTAGTGTGAAACTCCTGGCATTATGTTAAAGGCTTTAGCCTAGGTCTGTTGTTTGAAAGTATAATTTTCAAAATGTTACAAAAAAACAACAACCAGGAAACATGGTATTTCGTAAACAAACTGTCATTTTCGTCATTCAGCAAGATCGAGGTGATGCAATAAGAAATAATTTGAAAATACCTGTTGAATAATTTTGAGAACAATCAGTCAAAGCTTCCCCTTTGTATATAAAATTTGATATATCTAATGCCTCGTAATCCACTGCAGTCGGCAGAAATTTGTAAACCAATGTTTCCATTGTGTGTCCAACTAAAAACAGTGCACAAGAACAGGTAAAGTCGAATAAAAATAAAAACGTACAGCAATAAACAACAAAATGCACCATGTAAAAATAACATTATTTGCATACAATTCTAACAATTACAATGACGTCATTTAGTCTATAATGAGACATGTATGACTCATAAATTGACTATGAGACCTCTTGAAATGTTCTTTTGTATTATGTTCCTTATCGAAATTTCAAATAGAGTGCATTTTGCAGATTATTCTTATCATAAACATATTTTACATCATTACATCACACAACAGTAAGCCATTACATTAGCAAACAACATGCATAATTGTTTTTGCTGTTTGTGTCACTGACAATTATTTTGCTACAATAGAAAAACTGATTAAGGAGACTACAGTATGCAAACTGACATCACAAAGTCAATTTATACAAATCACCACTATGTGACGTTCAAATAATGAAATGTTGCCGACTAGTAAAACATTATCTATCATGATTCGCGATATATAAAATACAAGTATTCTGAATAAGTGAGACTTGTGTACGAAAAAAGAGCATTCAGTTTTGGTTTCGAATCTCTCGTCAATCGATTACATAACAAAATGCTGTCTTCCTGAAATATAATGCTTTGTTTACTATTTATATGGCGAATGAACGGATATAACGAAATTTTTTTACTGTAACCTAACGGGAGTCGAGTGAACGGAAATGGGTGGTGGGTATAAAAAGGCCATTATAATGCCGGTTGTGTAGCTTAGAGAAGTGTTAACAGTATATCTTGATTACCACGAAACATAACTGATCCTTTCCATACGAAAATGTTTCAAAAGTTCGAGTCTCTTGGAATTTATAGTACTTTGAATAGAGAACAATTGTAAGTGTAAAGCCTTTGCCAAGCAAGTTCATTTGTTTACATTCGCCAAAACGTAAAAAATAGAAAAGGCGACATAGCTTTACACGAACTGCGCTGGAAAGTGTCATTTGTAATATTTCTCCAGACAAAGTTGTAGGCATACAACGCAAGACCACGTGTTACTTCGGAATTGCTCATTCATAAGATACCCCTGGAGGTTGGCAATTCCGTGGTAGCACGTACGTGGCATTGGATTGAACATCTTTAACTGGTGGAACGGCACTGCTCTGCTCAGTTCGTAACAAGTTTTCTATTTTTACGTTTTGTCAATTGTAAACAAAAGAGGTCACTTCGCTAATTTTAACTATTCTGTTGACAGGTTTACAATTGTTTACAAAGTACAATCAGTTCCCTATGGCCAGAGACTTGCCTCTGTGATATCGCGCGCCGAACTTTTGAAGGGTAAGGTCACCATTTTTACTGACACGATCAGTTTAATTCCGCAGTAATGTAAACAAACCCAGGGCCACGGATAAGATCATTTGCATAATGTGTTTATAATGAGATTTAGATGAGTGTACATTGCTTTGGTTTCCACAAAATTCAATAAGCTGTTTTGAATAGGTAAGGCCAGCATGCGACACTCTGTATTGTTTAAAGGGTATACAATGTATGTTACCCCCCTATCACACCAAACTAGTTCTTACCCGTTCTTGCCAGTCCTACAAAAACGTCGTAAAACGGGCTCAATATGGCTGTGGTCGGGAAATATGTCTAAAATAATTAGCTACTTCGTTCATAAACAGTCTTCAATACGTCCATCTCATTCGCAGTTCGTTCAGGTCGCGCCACGTCGGTGTGCAACGTCGTATAACGCGTCCCCTAATCTAGAAGGTCATCATGACCTGATTATAAATCGATTGAATCGATTCAAAATTCTGAATCACATTCCCCGTTCGGGAAAGTCCATGAAGTTCGTAAACAGACCGTAGAATGTTGTAGCTACGTTCATTCAGTTCGCACACAGTTTAAAACCGATTCGGCATCGTTTTGAACAACGCAGTGACAACTGGTTCTGGTGTGATAGCTATTTTTGTTAATTCGTTCATAAGCAGTTTTTAATACGTTCATCTCGTCTTTATTCCGTCTGCAGTACGTTGGTATCAAGTTTAGATCGGGTTAAATTGTGCGTTCGTCTCGTGTACACAATGTATCCAAGCAGTTCAATTACGTCCTTAATCAGCTTAAACCAGTTGACAATTAGTTGTACCTCGTTCTCAATACGTCCTAATATGTTACTGAATTATCCACATAATTTAAAAACGGTTGAACTCGTTTTAAAATAGTAAACATCCGTGTCCCTAATCCGTGCAGAACACATTTATAATCCCCTATTTTCCTAATTGGGGGTACTCACGGCTGCAATTTACGCCTCACTACACAACGTCGTAATACGTCCCTAGTAGGATTGAAGTACGACACTAGTACGTTGTCACTCGTTCTGATTGCAGAATGTGACAATCACCAGAAATTTTTGAGCATGCTCTAAGTTCTTAACTTAAGTAGTGGGTTCTTAGTACGTCAAATCCGTTCGTGCACAGTTTAAGCCCGTTTTCGAGAACGTAGTGAGAACTACTTTGGTGTGATAGTAGGGTGAGGTAGGTTATTTACCTATTTTATCATAACATAAACATGCATGCATTTGCGGATGCCTACCGACCTGTCGTGTAGTTTTGGGAACAATCGTGTAATAATGACTTTTTAAGATTAAATTGGGGCAACTGCAAACCCGGCTCTTTTGCAACTGGTTCAGTATCAAGCCATTTATAAACCAGTGTATCCATAGTATGGCCAACTGTAATAAATGATATGTAACTATAATGAATTCAAAAGAATGTTTAACCCGAACGCTATATGTTATACACCTTTCAAATATAATCATTTTATGGTCGACCACCACAATCCTAAAATGAAAATAAGTTTTTATTAGAACTGAGAGCTCCTTGATTAAAAGCGATCTTAAGTATATAGCAACAATAGCTTGTATATGGGTAAAGCTATGGGAGATAACAATATGACGTAATTTTGCAACAGTGCAAGAACAACGAACAAGTGATTTCGACCTTCGTATGAGAAAACTGTATCGTGTCTTGGTCCATGGTATGTGACATGTATGATACTGATGTCACACAAAGCTTTAGTTTGCATGTTTCCTAAATTGACACGAATATACCATTCGGGGAACCCAAATACCACGTCTTGTATTTATGGTGGATTAAATAGTCCGTAAAGTTTATATTGATAAGGCAACAACTGTAACTTTGTACTGTGATCTATTTAACGGACGAAATCCAGAAACATCGCCGTATGAGAATAAAAATGTCCCAACTCACATTTTTATGAAGCTGGGAAATCAATTTTTAAAAGTTTAGGCGTTTGTAACTTCAATACTATCTATCTGTCATTTTGTATATTGATTTTATCATTTTGTGTAAATTCACTAAAACATTCATGAGTTTTAAGATTTTCTTAAACAAATTTCAGTATTCATTTTTTTCAAAAATAAATTCAAATTTCAGTTTAAAATTGTAATTTAATAATTCCTAGGCACATGGTGTAATTCAAACAATTTGATTGGTTAAAATGGTACATAGAACAAAGTAAAAATGTATATTTGAAATCTTTATGGAGGACAATTTGACACTGAAAAGCAGGATATTAAGAAGAGATGGAGATAAGGGGATATCGCAGAAGAAAGAGGATGATTTAAATAGTGGAAATCTGTGAAAATCTCATTTTTTCAAAAATGACATTTCGGACATTATTATTCTCATACAACGACATGTACCAGAGGCGCATTACTAGAAGCTAACTTAACGCATTCTTGCAATGCACCCTTGGTATGAACTAAACAACACGGTCAACATTTAACAATTAAAGCGACCTTGCAATGCACCCTTGGTGTGAACTAAACAACACGGTCAACATTAAATAATGAAAGCGACCTCTAAATCTAATATTCTAAATTAAACATGGTGACATACGTGCGCCTTCTAGCAACGATCACTCGACATGCAATAAAGGTTAGGTGGTTTGAAAGTCAAATTCTTTACCCAACGACCCTTGTCTCTGTCTTCCAACAAACAATTTGTTAAATGTAACCACGTGGCTATATTCATTTGTAAACTCAAGCAAATTGGCTCATTGTCTTTCGTCGCGAACTTCTAGCGAACTTAATATTGAATGGTCAAATCTGACACGTCCGGTCATATTCAGCATCATTCAATCCTCTTCTTGTTTTTTATTGTTGAGCTATACATGTGTACATCACGTTGAATCTACCAACTCTGGTAGCATTCAGGAGTTCAACTGCCGGCTGCCGGGTGAATAAACGAATGGTACCTGCAATACATACCAGTAGCTACAAGATATTGAGTCAAACACTATCACTGACCTGGATGACGGATTAATCTGCCTATCTAAGCAGCTACGAACACTGACTTAAGTTTGTAACAGTGACTTAAGATCTGTTCGCTAGTTCAACCGAGCGGCTTTATTTATCATAATCGATGTTTACATTGGCATAATAAAAAGTCATATAATCACTGTCAGATAGCTATAGGGCTGTCCGTTATTTTAACTTCAAAATGACATGTTTAATTTTCCAAAATAATTGGTGAATCTGGAACCGGCAGTTGTATTTGCGAATGACTAGTGTTCGTATTTTAAACTTGACCACTGAATGTAAAACGCGTGAAAAAGAATAGCGTAGTGAACAAACGTTTGTTGTTTGTGGTTGAACATAGAGGGTAGAATCTACGACATTGCAAATCATCTAGTGTGGGTCAACATTCCATTCGATTTGTTTATTTGTACATTAATACGGAATAAAATTGATCTTATTCTTCAGAAACGCAGATTGTCTTTCAAAAGAGGACCTGATGGCGATACTGTTTAGCACACGCTCTAGGAAATTGATTGTACTATATATAGCCAACAAAGACATATATATGGATGTGAGAATGAAAAAGCCTTAGGGTCCCAACAACCCGGTGAGTTCAAGTTTTATTGACACATTCCGTATTAACATGTGAATTTGCATCGAATCTTTTAAACTGTTGAAATAGTTCATTTAGAGATATAACGAAGGTCACCGGCCTACCCAGCTCGTGTAGTACCGTCCCAACAAGTGACATTAGTTTCGATTATTGGAGTTTCATAACTTTTCTCATTCTTAACGTTTTTGCAAAGTAAAAGAAGGGGGTTGGGACCCTAAGGTTCTTTCATTCTTCTATCCACAGATATGTAATTGTTGTCTCTGGAAATTACAATTATTTACCCAGAGCATGGGCAATACAGTATCACTACTAACCGTCTGTGAAACATCATCTTCGTTTCCGTAGGATAAAGTCACTATTTGTCATTAAATGGTCAATTGTATCGACTAATACGGAATGGTGACCCACTCAAGGTATAATGTTGTGGACATTACACATATACGAGTATAATGTTGTGGACACTACACATATACGAGTATAATGTTGTGGACACTACACATATACGAGTATAATGTTGTGGACACTACACATATACGAGTATAATGTTGTAGACACTACACATATACGAGTATAATGTTGGACACTACACATATACACTACCCTCCATAAGTTTGGCAACCTTTTTTCTCCATTGAACTACGTGTTAAAGCCTCTTTACGTTTGAATTTTTATTTACTTAACCGGCGATATATTAACGTATAATATTGATGGAAACGTAACTTGACTTTATTTCCAATAGCTCCAAATTTTCTCAATTTTTTTCCTCAATTACAATAGGTCGAAAATTGATGATAGATTTGATGAATTTTTGAAAATCGTCATTCCCATGTAATCCAATGGGAAATTGAGGGTTCGGGGCAAATCAGAAATCAGGATATCTTTTCAGTAAAAGATTCAGCAAAAAATATTTGTATATAGAAAATTGAATTGTCTAACCTTTTTGAACACTAAGTGTTTAGTTTATTTGATGAATATTAAAGTTACAGCGCTTCAAAGTCATTTTTGAAAATAATTTTTCGCCTCCTGTGTTATTTCAATGGGAGAGGTTTTTTGAAAAACAATTTTGACTTTAAAGCCCTATAACTTTGTTGAACCTGAAGGAACATATCAATTTTTTGTTAAATAAAGTTAGCAAATTCAATTACCTGCCTAAATTGTATTTTTTGCAAGGATTCGGATAGATGGATATTCTGTCATATGACTTGCGGCAAACCTACTATTTCCCATTGGATTACATGGGAATGTCGATTTTCAAAAATTCATCAAATTCATCATCAATTTTCGACCTATTGTAATTGAGGAAAAAAATTGAGAAAATTTGGAGGTATTGGAATTAAAGTCAAATTAAGTTTCCATCAATAGTATAAGTATTTTCATCGCAGGTTAAGTAAATAAAAATTCAAAGGTAAAGAGGCTTTAACACGTAGTTCAATGGGGGAAAAAAGGTTGCCAAACTTATGGAGGGGAGTGTACGAGTATAATGTTGTGGACACTACACATATACGAGTATAATGTTGTGGACACTACACATATACGAGTATAATGTTGTGGACACTTCACATATACGAGTATAATGTTGTGGACACAACACATATACGAGTATAATGTTGTGGACACTACACATATACGAGTATAATGTTGTGGACACTACACATATACGAGTATAATGTTGTGGACACTACACATATACGAGTATAATGTTGTGGACACTACACATATACGAGTATAATGTTGTGGACACTACACATATACGAGTATAATGTTGTGGACACTACACATATACGAGTATAATGTTGTGGACAATACACATATACGAAGGGTCAACATGCAAGCTGAAATACATTCTACCTGTTGTATAATTTTGTGAACAATCTATTAAGACATGTTTTTGTAAGACATATTGTGGTAAATTGAGGTTTTTTTCATGCACCACAGGCTCTGGAAGCCATTTGTAAATCATGGTATCCATGGTATTGCCGACTGCAAATGAATAAGAATCATTAATGTAATGATATTAAGTATACTTAGTTTTATGGTCATATTGAAGTGGGTGTCGAATTAATGTATGATTACCCAATGCATATAAATATATATCGAAAATTGGTAACTCAAATGGAGAGAGAAATGTGTATTTGATCTGAAAATTCTTCGAGCTGACAGGTGAATCCTCGATGAAGCGATTAAAAGGCAGGCTGGCTCCATTTCTAAAACATTCAGGCTTATACATAATTTGACATAAAGATTAGCAAAGTAATGCTTATCAGACCTTGTGACACCGTGAGAATGTAAAGACCATACCACTGCGTTCACTAAGGGGTCCGAAAAACTTAACCCATGTTATTATAAGTTTAGTAATTCGAATTCGTATCAGAGTTTACCATCGCTCATCTTATACTTTATTTGTGTACAAACTATATAATATAATAAATTAGTCTTAACAAGTCACTAAAACATACTCAGGATAATTATTCAAAACAAAACTTATAAAAACATTAACAAGAATGCGTTTAATAACAATAAATCGAGGAGTAAGCATATCAGAAAATATTGACTGAGATATATCTTCGTGGTTGAAAATAAAAGAATAATTCTATACGTACAACTTTCGAACATCATCGGGCAACGCTGTTCATCAAGAGGATATTTGTGTAAATCCATCGGACACGACAGTGTTGCAGTAATTCTAAAAGGTCAAAAGTGATATTTATGAACTTTAAGGGAAATAGTTTTACATACATAGGATAATTTCCAAACTGTGAAAATTCCAATTGTTTTCTTAATGTAACTTTTCAAGAGGCAGTGATGCTATTATATAATGTTATTATATCATTTTATTAATCTGTAATATGAAGATGATCAAACATAAAGTATCAATATAATATAATTCAATAAGCTGATGATAATGTTATTCATTACGTACTTGGAAGCATACCAAATGTCGCCATTGTCAGTAAGTCTTAGAAGACGGTTTGGAATCGTGACATAGTGGAACTCTGCTTTCTTCTCATTGCTGAAAGGTGACGTTTACAAGTGACATAAAAGGTAATTCATGAAAACAACAAATTTCGGATTCCAATTGTAATTTTTGAGGACATTACAATACTATTTCTATTCTTAAATTGCACATACAAGCTTTCTTGATCTCCAATGGAAGTAAAATTGAAATGTTTTACGAATCTCTTCAATACCCGGATAAATATGTGATGGAACCCTAGTTAGAGCCCTGAAAAGCATTGCAAGACTACAATATCAATGCTGTCTATTTGGCTATATTTACCGGAAGAACACATCAGGAGTCCAAATCAAATCCCAAGTACCATCTTCCATTTTAATCATGTGTTTATCTTTGCCGTTGAATGGTTCAAATTGCAATCTTGGATCGTTCCAGCTTTGTCGCAGGTATATATTAATGGAATAATCCTGGATAAGATAGCAATAAAATAAAGTTATAATTATAAACGAAAACATGTATAAACCCAATTTAACTTGGTAACACCATTTAAGTACTTTTCAACATTACTGGGTACCATCAACCGTTGGGCTACTGGGATTTCTTATTCGAGACACTCACAAGTGCTGTCATGGGAAGCATTGTATTTTTAAGTCAGAATATATTACTCAATTCAATATGTTTGATATGCTGATATGGTAATGCGTTACTATATGTATACACACTAACCACATGGATTAACCCTTTAGTCTACTTTCTCTTGAAAGCCCATGCTGTAACATAATGTTTAATAATCTAATAAATTATAATGTCAAAGAATTTACGATACTAGGAGTCATTTAACGCTTTACTATAGTTGTACATAATGCTTAATAGTATAACGACTATACCTTCATTGTACATGGACTGCGTTTTTAAACTGCCCGCGGCGCAAGTATGTTGCATAATATTCAATCAGTTATCCCCATGGCCCAAGGTATCATAAAACAGAACGATGAGCGCGTGCGTTGCAAATTTACATGGTCAGACGTTTTCAACAAAGGCAGTTCACTCAAGCGCACTTAAACCGCTAATTACGCTGTGGCAACCTTATCGGCTGCTTGCATGTGTCAACCGCGTCTACTCGTTGCTAGAGCATTGCAGAAGTTACATTGCAATAAGCAGTGACAACTTTCGAAAGAATTGTGTGAGTGTAGGTGCGCTTGGATAAGCTATTTTTACGCAATCCACTTGCACCGCGGGCATACAATATCCAGCAATAATGTTTAATCACCAATAACGTTAGTTTTACACAATTTACAAATATGTAATTACGTAACCGTAGTAGACAATGTTTAATGATTAAATTACTTTACCATAGTTTGTTCGCTAATGGAGTAGAAACTGTTAATGTAGATTCCGAGCTTCACGTCTGTTGGTCCTATAAAACAAAGTGTGTATGTTCTTTTGAAATATATAAATGCTTCTTGAAGAATAAACATTACGTTTTAATTTCATGAATTTACGATTTTAGCTCCTTTAATATAAATAAGTAAGTACATTTCTATTTTTTATTGTACACCCCCTCCAATAGCCCTCTCATTGAACTGCTTGTTAAAGCCTCTTTATGTTTGAATTTTTATTTACATAACCTGTGAATACTTATAATAATGTTGGTGGAAATGTAACTTGACTTCATTTCCAATGCCTTTAAGTTTTCCCAATTTTTTCCTCAATTACAATAGGTCGAAAATTGATGATAAATATGATGAGTTTTTAAAATTTGAAATTCCCATGTAAACAAATGGGAAAAAGTAGGTTTGGCTCAAGTCGATCATATGATAGAAGATCCATCCATCCCATAGCTAGTTCTTGCAAAAATACAAGTTGGGTAGTCAATTTGCTTTCCTTATTACTTACCTAAGATTTTGGTGAATCTTTTACTGGATAGATACCTGAAATCAGATTTTCCCCGAACCCACCCCGATTTCCCATTGGTTTACATGGGAATAACGATGTTCAAAAATTATCAATTTTCGACCTATTGTAATTGAGGAAAAATTGGGAAAATTTGGAGGCATTGAAAATGAAGTCAAGTTACATTTCAATCGATAGTATTTTCCTCACAAGTTATTTAAATAAAAATTCAAACAAAAAGAGGCTTGAACACGTAGTTCAATGAGGGAGCTAAGGTTGCCAAACTTTTGGAGGGTAGTGTATATTTCGTTTTGATTCAATGAACAACATTAAAGAATATATACACTTTATACCTATCCTTTAAATCTAAGCTTGTATTAGTAAATGCAACTTTTGTTAAATCGAAGGTTAATCCTATATCCGACAGCCGAAAGTTGCATTCGCGAATGCAAGCTTAGTTAAGTATGCTACTTGCCAATTAGCTACATTTAGATTTTGCTAATTACTATACAATAGAGTTATGAAAATAACCCTGTAAAGTTATGACACCTCAAAATGAGTAATCCTTGCTGTTCTGAAACAAAATGACAACTACCTTTTCTTGGTGCATTGCCCTTCTCATACTTTCTCAACAGTTGCACCATCAATTCAGCCCTGCCAAAATATATTTACAATATTTATATAAGCTATTTTTACTATTTACAATATTCAGACGACTTACAACATTTACATTTTATTGAATGAGTTACTACATGCACATAATAAACAAAATTTTAAGAACATTTAAGCCATCTACAAAAATACAATGTTAAAACGTTAACCAAAAAGAACATCGGTTTTACAAATCCGTGTTTCATTGCTATGTGTACGTGAAGAATTAAAATTCAACACGTTTGAAATTAGAGTTGAATTATTTTATTTCCGGTTGATATAACGTCTTAGCGTTAGTGAAATCGAACGCGATTTCAACTGATTGGATAACATGATGTGATCATGAGTAGGTTATGTGAGTGGATGCACGATGGGATCGTGTTATTCTGCGAGTAGCAACCGAAGCGTTTATACACAGTTTTAGTTAATGTTGTAAGTTGTCATACAACCGATTCGAAAATTTAGTTTTATTGTTCGAGGAGGCATACCTTTTTCCCTTTCGAAGGTCACAAAGATTTTGATCTGGGTTTTAACGGTGTCAGGTCGATAAACTAAAGTTTTTCATATTGAAGTCAACGAACATTTTCTTTAGTGCTATTGACCAAATCAACGTTTTTGAATGAAGTATACGTGTTCTGACGTTGATGTAACCTGTTCCCAATAATTACTATTTTGGGAAGTATATTTTCTGCAATTATTACAAAGCATTGCATAGCATAGGATGTTAATTAAGTTAATTAAAACATTTAGATATTAGGTTTCTAAGAAGCAATTATGTAATGTGCATATAAATCTGAAACTCGAGGCATGGCTTTTTACTGACAGCGCATTGAATCTAAGTGAATAAATATGTATTTAAGTGCGTTTCTGTCATATTGTTTCAAGGAAGGCACATAGTTTTGCTTTTAAAGATATTGATTATATCCGAAAGTCCTTCATATTTTTAGATATGTAATATCTATTTCCAGAAGGGCATCAATTTTGGTAATTTAGTTGATAGTTGTGTTTCTTTACAACATTTACAGTAGTTGTGTTATATCAGTGTGACAAACACATTAAGAATAGTGCTTGTCAACTAATTGCATTTTATATTAAACAGATAGTTAGATTTACAACGTTTCGAAGAATTGTTCTTTTGCTTTTGTTGCAATACGAGATAAGTTTGTATTAAGGTTTGCAAAGCATGGTGCTTTCCAGATATTATATTGTTCATCACAATAGTTTTAGAAGATCGTATGATTTTTGTAGTCCGGTCGTGTATTCTTGTGATAATCACGGAATTTTTGTATTTTGTGACCAACAATGTCGCATATTACGACAGTTTATTAAGGAAGGAAGTTTCATTAACTTTCTGAGTTACGTGTTTTGCCAAAAGGCAATGTTATGGTTAGTCTGCAAGTCTGTAGACAGTGATTTAGATTATTGTTATGTATTAATGACAGTGCGTGATTACTGTATTAGATAGTGAGGCATGTTACTCACAGATTTTGCATAGTGCTAGAAGGCATTATATACAGGTATGGTCCTTATACAAGTTTTTATGTTGCAAGTTGACAGATAGTCACAATTTAGAATTGGTTTATTCCGAAATTTGTGAATTAATTTGAGATCTTGGACGTGTTAACAAACGTGTAGCCACAATGGTTTTAATGACAGTTGATCATTAGATATGGATGGGTTGTTGGATTTAGATGTTTTAATTAGGCACACGGTGCCTTATTGATGCCTTGAAGGCAGTTAAACATCGTAAATCAGCAGCGAGGTTGGGAGCCGAGGACGGATGTTGGGTATATTTGAACCTAAGAGGTTTCTGGCATTAATGCCATCGGCATCGTGGCCGCTATGACATTGGCATCGTGGTCGTCATAGGTACCTGGATGCATCGCGGCCTGGCTACATTTTTTCTTTTTTTCACTCATTTTTTGTATCAGATGTACTTAATGCTATTCCAATAAACGCGGGCTGCTGGCTCGAATTTAATCCTATAATATATGTGATATTATGTTGTGTGGTTTGTGGTGAAGACTGTTTAATTAGGAAATAATATCGAATAACACAAGTGGGCGGTGATTAAATTGATTTGCAATGTGTAAACAGTGGAACAATCGATTTTTTCTATTCATCGTGGTAGTGGATTTTAAAACGTTTAAAAAAATTCACGAATTCCGATACATTGTAATTTAAGAAACACCAACACATGTATGTCGTCATGAACTATTTTCCCCGATGAAGTTGTAATTTAATATATTAATTACACCTTACGTTGGATCTATCTGGGATAGAGAACAAGAATTAATCCATATTAATTTTGCCAGTGAATTGAAAATATAATGTCAGGTTGTTGATTTCCATTAAATGAATTTTAGTTTGTAACCCCCCTATCACACCAAACTAGTTCTTAACCGTTCTTGCCAGTCCTACGAAAACGTCGTAAAACGGGCTCAATCTGGCTGTGGTCGGGAAATATGTCTGAAATAATTAGCTTCTTCGTTCTTAAACAGTCTTCAATACGTCCATCTCGTTCGCAGTTCGTTCAGGTCGCACCACGTCGGTGTGCAACGTCGTAGAACGCGTCCCTTAGTCTAGAAGGTCACCATGACCTGATAACAGAACGGTATGCTCGCAATCGAATTTTGAATCGATTCAAAATTCTAAAATCACATTCCCGTCTGAGAACGTTCATAAAGTTCGTAAATAGACCTTAGAAAGTTGCAGCTACGTTCATTCCGTTCGCACACAGTTTAAAACCAGTTTTGAAGAACGCAGAGGCAACTTGTTTGGTGTGATAGCTATATTTTTGCTAACTCGTTCATAAGCAGTGTTAAATACGTTCTTAATCAGTTAAATCCGTTTGCATTTAGTTCTACCTCGTTCTCAACACGTCCTCAGACAGTTCAACTCGTTGTTAAAACGTCCTTAGTAGGATTGAAGTACGACGGTCGCGTTCGTAGTACGTCCAGCTCGTCGTAAGTACGTTGTCACTCGTTATAAATTTAGAACGTGACGACCACGAGAACATTTTGAGCATTATCTAAGTTCTAGAGGACCTACCCGTTCGAGTACGTTCGATGAGGTTTGTAAATAGATCCCAAACGGTTCTTAGTAGGTCCAGTCCGTTCGTACACAGTTGAAGCCCGTTTTCGAGAACGTAGTGAGAACTAGTTTGGTGTGATAGTAGGTGTGATAGTAGGGTAACCCTACTATCACACCAAACTAGTTCTCACTACGTTCTCAAAAACGGCTAGTTGAAAGCCCATGATCACACCAAACTGTTTTCTACTGCGTTGCTGAACTGGTTTTAAACAGTTTGCGAACGGAAGAAACGTAACTGCATCTTTTACGGTCTATTTAAGAACTTCAGAGACGTGCTCGGACGGGAAGATGATTTAAAATTTTGAATAATTTCAAAATTCGATGGCGACCATACCGTTCGCGTGATTAAAACGTGTGAGAACGTTCTTTAAACGAGATTACCTACTAGAATACGAACGTAATTGCCGTACTTCGACCCTACTTGGGAGGCGTTAACGACGCTATGCAATCGGATATCAATTTATTGCAGGACGTGTACACACCGACATAGTGCGACCTTGAAACGAACTGCAAATGAGATGGACGTATTGAAGACTATTTATATAAACGGAGTAGATAATTATTTTCGACATATTTATTATTTTCCGACCACAGCCAGATTTAGCCCGTTTTTCGACATTTCTGAACGACTGGGAAGAGCAGCTTCGAGTATGCATTTTGGACATGATTAAGGTATACATAAAAATAATTGCTGGTGTTGAGCCTCGAATAAACACATTTGCACAGTTTCCCACGTGGTGTTGGGTCAGATATACGTCATATTTCAAAATAATGAATAGATGGCGAAAAAAGCAGGTCAAACTTTTTACCACTAAATATTTTGAATCTTTTATCATTTGAAGATGATAAAATCTTTTACAACATAAAATACATGGTTTTCTGTCTGAAATATTGAATCAGAAATATGTTGGATCAAAAATTGCCCAATTGCCCATTGGATTAACAATTGCTGGCGAATGGTGTACTTTATTATTATTCAGGAGGATTCTTGATGTTAAAGAGAATGAATCGAGGAGTTATACGGAGATAATATAAATTAGGTTAACATTCATTAGACAAATCATTAATTCAGATATGCTACCGTTAACAATGCTAATTTCAGAATCCGTGCATGCTTGGAAGATCATCAATCAGATCATGTTACGTGTTGCATTACATCCATCGTTGAATGATAAGAGATTTTAAAGGAACAAGTAGCTTCTTGATCAAGGCAACAGACATGACATTAGGCTTGTTCAAGTGAATCAGGAAAATCTATCTGATTAATTGTTATTGCCAAGGTTGCTTGTGATATATTGGCTTAGAGTTAAGATAATGACATTCAGGGATTGTAACTAACATTCAATGTTAGACAAAACGGTTGATACATCTGTTGATACTGCCAAGAACATAGGTGTCAATGTCATCGCCTCGTCCTTGACAGTAATCATTCCATCGATGATGATATAAATATCAGCACGATACTAATGAGTTATAATATTGACAACGAGTTATTACTATTTCAAGATAAAGCATTCGATTTTACAGTACTGTGAATTACTCGCCATCTTACCCCGTGCGCACACTCTTAAAAATTATTACTTGGATTTCCTTATATTGAAAAATTGTACTACTCATTTTAAGTCAAAAATTACTTAAATAATCTTGAACTACTGAATAATTTTTAAGTAATTTTTAAGTAATTCATTTATGGTGAATTTACTAATGCAAGGAGAAAAATTGAAATACTTACTGTAGTAATTGTAATACTCATTTACATAATTAAGCAATTAAAAAACTCAAAATGACAATATAAGTTAAACCTAAGTAAAATGAAGTAAAACTAAGTATTTAACTTAAAGTAATTTTTATACTTGGGAAATACTCAAGTAATTCATTTTTAAGAGTGCAGAGTCTAGTTATCTACCAAGAAGTGAAGTCGAACGAATGCTAAGGGTATCGCCATCTTTACAATCGAAGCAAAAATGTTTGATAGTCGTTTACTTCACTTTGAGTTTTAAACCACATCATTTAATTTATTTCAACAACAAAGAAAAATTGTGAAAATATCACATTATTTCAACCAATCCACTCTATTACTTATCCAACGATTTTATCAGTTTTTTCAAGAGATATCTTTATGTGTCTATTTTGCAATAAAAATCGGTCGCAAATTTAGCAAAAAGTACAATAGTTATCGTTCTACAACATTCATATATACAGGGTGAGCCAAAATGGTAACCTAATCAAATGTTTGGCACAATTAAACCTTGTTCAATGTTCTGTCATTCCACTGAGTTTGATTTGTCTAATTTTTATGGGCACGATTTTATGGCCATTTTAAAAAACATGCTACAAATGCGACAAAATCACCCGATATCAATCCCCAAACTTTTATCTTTGGAGCAATTTCGATCAAAGATTGTCTACATTTACAACTCAAGATGCATGTGTATAGTAATAAGGGGTTTGTCGGCCTCATGTAAACTCGCCTTGAACACCCCTTTCTTTATAAATCAAACACCCGGCCGGTAGCAACCTCTCTTCGGAAAGAGCAACACACCAAAGACCGGGAACGAACCCCACTCTCAGAAAGATGACTATTTTAGTGCGAAAAATGAATCGCACACATCTACACTTTCTATTTCATGAGTGTGCATACTATATTCTGTAATTTGATCGATTTGTTGAAACCGTTTGTTTCTCTCTTGCAAATTGTGCTAAATATGATTTTAAACTTATGCTGGATGATGAGTTATTTACATTTGTTTGAGTTACCTTTTTGGCTCCCCTGAACATCTAAGTTACAACACGCTTAGTGTTTAACAACATTTACAAATTTTACAACATTGTAGGTTACCGTCACTTGGAGGTTCCCATTTATCATAGCCATCTAAAAGCTGTTGCATTAACTCAGACCTATCAACACGCAAAGAAACCATCGGTAATTAAACACATTATAAATTGTTACATTTTAAGAAGCCAGACATATACGCGGTGAAGTATTGGTTTTCGATGATGTTCGCACATTATCTAATGATTTGTGTATACTCTGGTAAACAAATGCTAGCAGACAAATAGGGAAGTTCAAATGTACATGCATGTATTCATATACAAATGATGCAACGGTATTGAATAATTGTGTCCATAAACCAAACAAGCGTAGATATATCATTAAAATCTAAACCACGGATACAAATCAATTTGAACGATTAATTGGGGTCGATATGACCAGGGTTATGATATGACATAGCCGACAAAACTGACTTTCTGAAATCAATTTATCTTTATTCACGTCAGGAAGTATTCGGTTTTACATTTATCTTCCTGCCAATATAGGTTTGTTGATGCTCTATCTCTAAAGTTTCTTCAACTATATTTCAAAATTGTTTGTGTGAGAAACACTTTTGTGGCAATGTAACATTTCTAAATCGACACACAGTCAGCTGCGGAGTTACGTTTTTAGACTCAAATAAAATTTGCTGCAGTTTCGGAATTCGGACATTGATCAATAGGTAAACAGTCAGCTATATTATGAAAAATATTGACTTGTATTGTAATTCAGAAGTCAGTGTGTCCTAATGTTATTCGATCCATAAAACAAAATAGAAGTTAATATATTGAATAAACAATATGCAGTATCTTAATGAACGGAATCTGGTGAAAGTCTTTCATTGGGAAATAGTTGATTGAAATCATTTTTGTTGTATTAGGGGGTTAACATAATACTTTGCGAAACAGAAAGAAGCAACGAAAGAAAATAATATTTAGTGATCATATTGCCAGGTTATCAGATACTATCAAATAGACAAACTAAAGTGAAATGTAAAATACTGATCTGAATAAAAAACAACCAAATTTTAAAAGACATCATAGTCTATAAATATGAGTTGGGAAATATATTTGTTTTGTTCTTTGCCGACTTATTTTAATACACGTCAATCAATCAAAAGCAAATTTTAGAATTTATTTTCTATCGATTGGTATACGAGGTACACTCCCCTCCATAAGTTTGTTAACTGGAAGTCATCATTGGATGGCATATTGGAGCCTGTTGATGATGGAATTTATTAAATTCGTTTATTAATTTCTGACTGTAATTTATATTTGTACCAAAATGTTTGCCAAATGGTGAGTTTTTTAAGTCACAAGACATAAAAAGGTTCGATAAATGATCCAAAATGGGAATTCCGGTGGATAAACTTATTGAGAGGAGTGTAGTTGTGGTTTGTTACTTACCTTGTAGTCGGTTTAGTTCCATTCTTCCACTTGGCTCTGCTCATGTGAAAGAGTAAAATCAGCTGAGTGAAGATGATCAAAACGATCTGTAGCAACTTCATTCTATGTCTGTGGGCCACGCAGCCAGTTTGTTAGCACTTGCTTCATTTACCCCAAGTAATGTATTCGCGTAGCCTGAAACCACATTTTTGTTTGAATAACATAAGAATTTACAAAAATATGCCTTTGTAGTGCAGACATATTCACCAGGTACACGGTACAAGTCCTGTTGGAAACAGCGTTTATAAGTTGTTAATTTGTAAAGGCTGTTGGCTGCAGAAGCTTGCTAATGACTCGAAATGTCTGCTTGGTGTGAGTCGCTCTTATAAATCTTCCCATCCTTTGCTATGAATCATGTACTGGGTAGCGAACTTATTTTATGTTATATTATCTAATATTCTGAATGTGTTCATTTGAGTTAATTGTATCGATAATGATGTTAGCTTCACTTGACAGAAACTGACTGATTCTATTACAAACATATTGACCTACGCCCTATTACTTGACAGACTTTAACCATTGCCTAATAGCCTTTTAGTTGTCATCAGTTCGTTCTGGTCATTCACTCTCAATTATTAATACAAAGGCAAACGTAAAAATTAAGGTGTCTTTGATGCTTTTTTCATAATATTCGCCTTTCTAAAAGCATAGACAGTCCGGATCAGGCCAATATCTTCCATTGCTAATTGTAATTAAAACATGCTTACATTTTACTATCGTATGTATGCCAACGAAATCATTTTACACTTGCCTATTGTAATTGGATCTGCACAGAACTGTATACTACAGGGTGGTAAAAACTGAGTCCCTTACGCCAGTTGCCTCATATCTTTGTAATTTAAGTCCCTGATATTTTCGACATTTGTACATCATTCAATATCCTACCAGTCTACTATGTTTTATGAACATCAGATAGTCACAATGTTACAGCACATGCCCTAGTGGGCGTTAAGAGCTTTGGGCAAACCTGCACACGTAGTTCAAAATGTCCCTACCCGTTGGGATACGGCAAATATAGAGTGTATGAGAATGACTTCAGGACAATTTCAGACCTCAAAAGTGAGATCATCTGTCTCATTCAGGCCATACCTACTGAGGAATGCATTCGGACCATTGAAAACTGTGCAGGTTTGACCATGGCGCGTTATGCCTAGGTCACATAGGCGCCGGCCGATTTCTAATGCCTGGGTCACATTTGCTCCGATCCATCGGCCGGCGCCAGGCCGATTGAGTGCTTTGCTCAATAATGTATTCAATTTTGAACAAAATACTCAATCGGCCAGGCGCCGTAGTGAAAATCGGAGCAAATGTGATCAAGGCATAAATCGACTGGGCGCCGGTGACTTTTCACCGATGTCTTGATCTAATCGTGAGTATGGTCACATTAGTACAGGCATCGTACGGCGCCCGCAATCAATTGAATCTGAAAGACATCGCACGGGTATCACAAGGCTATCTGCCGATGGCCGTAGGCACCCGCCAGGACATCGGTCGATCGCAGGCCTCTAGATTTATACTAAATTCCTGTATGACCCAGTATGACTGTTCACATGGCGTGAATGTAACATTTGAAAACGAAATACTTTGATAGACAGAACTTCCAGGATAACAATGTTTTCATGCAATAAAATGAGAAAAAAAGATCCTCTCTTGAGTAAATAGGTTCAATATTTTAAGAAAAATGTTGACATGGGGTCCCTATTCACAATTTTTCGAATTGTTTGAATGATATTTTTATCATCATGGGTACTTCAATTGAAAGAAAACATATTGTTTTAATAAAAACACTGTATTCATGCCAAGGAAGTACTCATGGTGAAAGATATGACCGTCTAAAATCACTTGCCATACTGCACGTGGTCTATTCATCAAAGTGCACCCTTTCATATAAACAAATACTATGTCTACCTGTCCATCCGATACTATTAGCATAATTCCCTATTTCTGCATCTTTCTTTTGTCTGTTCTTGTAAAGATTTCGCCGTAGTGAAAATCGGAGCCTATGCAGTGACCAAGGCATTAATGCCAAAGTAGACTAAAGCCTGAGGCATGTTGTACAAAGTGATGTAAAATTGTGACTATAGGCTGATGGTTATGAAATATTGTAGGGTGGTAGGAAAGTAAATGAGTAAATGCTCAACTTGCCAACTGAATTGTTCTTGATCTAACTATATTAAAGATCACTTAGCACTGTACAGTACATGCTCAACCAAATCATATCCAACTTTAATGATGCATTGTTCTTAATGTTACTATTTAACATTACTTAGCACTGTACTATAATACATTACATGCCCAACTAAATCATATCCAACCTTTACGATGTATTGTTCTTGATCTTACTATTCAGCGTAACTTATAATTGGCACTGTACTGCCCAACCAAAAAATCATATCCAACCTTAACGATTAAATTGTTCTTGATCTTACTATTTCACATTACTTCAAACTGTATAATGTCCAACCAAATCATACCCAACCTTCACGATTAAATTGTTCTTGATCTTACTATTTTACATTACTTTCACATAGTATATATGCCGCCCAACCAATTGTTAATATTACTGTAATATTGTACAAAACGTTTACAACTGAACCAAATACCAATGTTAAAATTATACAAAAAATGAATGTATCGACGACCGATTCATTTACTGTATTATAGTATTATGCATACTATAAACCGATCGATTTAATTTGTATTTCGGTTGCAACGTTGACAACAATTATGATTATTTTTATTTGTCACGAGATTTCGTGTTTTGTTATGATAATCGAAAATAAATGGTACTATTCTACCCATTCTTCAATGTACGATACAGCTTTGTGTATTGTACCGTTAACAATGAAAGTATTACAAATTTATATTGACGCAAGTCCTTCATTTATAATTTATTCAAAATCCAGGTAGACATGAACGTTTTATATTCTACACAAGATATTAGAATCAAATATATAATATTCGACTGCAAACCTACCCACTTTGTATCAAAGAGCCAATTTGTGATGACTTGCTTACCCGTGTGACCCGATTAGTGTTCAACATTTTTTCTTTTTCAACATTCTTCATCTTAATCCTCATGGACGGGACATTTGATAAAACCAATTTTTAATTTTTGTTAATTATTAATGAAGGATATTTTCTCGATAACATGTGTGACATTGATTTCATAACACATTGTCAATTCTATCATTATATTAATATATGATTAGACGTGGTATAATACAAATACCCCCCAAAAAGTGACTAAATGACCCATCGAGTATATAAATAGTTCTGATCAACTTATAAAAGATATTTGATAGGTTTTGTAAACAGTAATGGATTATATACAGGAGTTCTAAGCTAATTGCAGCGTTCTGTTTGACAATAGCTATTTACAAAAGATACTTCAGTTTTTTTCGTTCTCGAAAAGATTTTGCTATACTTGTAGACTGAACAAACATTCTCGTTTTTGATGAATGTGTTCAATGTATTCAACAAGCGTTTTCGTTTGCTAAGTGCCACAACATAACTACAATATTTAGAGTTTTTTGTGGAATTATTCGTAATGATGAACGAAATAAGATTGCTACGTGACATACCTACTAAAACGAAACGCCGTCAAATTAAGCCTCAGCTTTACAAAGTATTTCGAATCTTGATGATTCAAAATCTCGACATATTCTTCGTGTTAATGTAATATAGATTAATTGTGGATCTACAAAGAAATTGCACAGTATCCCATGCATTATATCTGCAATACATTGCGACAATAATAAATTCTCACTTGACATAGATTCGTCTTTAGACGTCGATATCATATAGTTTCTTGACTTGAACTTGACTCTGTATAATGATGTCAATTAGCTGAAATTAATTGTAATTAATTGAAAATCAATAGATGCCATTCAAAAAACTCACGTTCAATACAACCTCGGTTTGATAACTACCTATACAGTGTGATGCATTCCACTCTGTCGTGACACTATTTGGCTTCCTCGTTACACAGTGTTCAATAATCAAATGATTAAAAATAATAAACTTTGTTTTTCTGTTTTTCCTATACGAATTTTAGTTAAATTAATCCTTATATATTACGATGTGACTGATGACCTGTCTTAAACAATATTATGTTGCGACACGATCGTGTCGTTCAAAATGCTACAAATCGGAAATCCATCGAGAACTCCGCAAAGCCAAAAGGCCCATCTAATGAAAATACTTCCGCCAATAAAGCAATGATCTTATCACGGTTAATATACGTTGCTCATTCTTCTTAATACGATCAAACCAATTCTAAAATAAGCAGATTACAAGTGAAAAATAATCTAGGAAATTAGAATTCGATCCAGAGCTGATAATGATTGTAAATCAAACACTACACGATATTCTAATGATTTGTTTTAAAGCCATTCAAAAGTCTAAAAAGTAAATTCTATGATACATTGTCAGTGAATCTTTTGAATCTTTTGAGTCATTTAGAAACACTTAGTTATGAAACAAATCAATTGAACTTATTGACCCAGTCTAAATTTTTCTGACTAAATTGAATCAAAGGAATTATTTAATTTGAATTTGAATTAATTCTGTTGATTATATGCATTGATCTACTGGCTGCAATTCAGCTGAATATAAATATTAAACTCTAAAAGCAATAGTCAGATGCAAAATATTGAAATATGCATTTGTAGCATTGAAATATGCATTTGTAGCATTGAAATATGCATTTGTAGCATTGAAATATGCATTTGTAGCATTGAAATGTGCATTTGTAGCATTGAAATATGCATTTGTAGCCTCCGTACTTGTTAGTACATTTTGGTTAACATTCTCAATACTCAAGGGGCGAGGAGGGAAATTCTCAATAAATGGTGTATAGTTGGTTTGGCAGTATTTTCAGTTAGGGGAGAGTCTTTGATGAAATTTCCACCTAGGTGATAGCTTCGCAGAGTGGTAGGAAGTTCTTTTTTTTGAGGAGTTAGTCCCCCACCCCCCAAAAACACCCAACCCTGGGGAAAAAATTGTTCACACTAAATAACCTTAGATATTTTGATGTTTGTAAGTGACATACATAGATATTATATATATGAATAATTTGCAGTATTATTGATGCTGATTACTCCTAAGGAATTTGAATATCAGTACAAAGTGTG